AGCGACCTGGCAAAGCTCTTTATCACATGAGCTGGCATCTGTAAGGATATCGTCTTCCAGGAGGCGTATCAAGAAGGAACACCCGAGTTAACGGGTGTCTCTGCAGCAGGTTGAGTTGCTGCCAGCAGCGGGGTGTCCCGCACAGCGCGCCGGCTGACGGGGCAGCACCTCCGCTCCCTCCCGGCGGCTCAGGCGGGTTTGAGATGCTCTGTCCTCTGCGGGGGAGCATCTGGTCAACCGCAGTGCGAAGAAACAAAACGGCGCATCTTCCTGGGGGAACCCACAAAGGCGCCTTCGGAACTGCTTCTGTGCAGTGGGGCCGTGGCGTAACCCCGGCCAGCAACTAGGAGCACGCAGCTGGACCCTCTCCTCCCCGGCGAGAAGAGGGAGGAAAAGGAGGAAAAAACCTGTGGGTTGAGATAAAGACAGTTTAATAGAACAGTAACAGAAGAAAAAAAAGATAAAATAAAAAAATAAATAAACAACATAAAGTGATGCAATACAATTGCTGTCACCACCCGATGACCTGCCCAGCCCATCCCCAGCAGCGACCGCTGATCGCTGCCCCCCCGGCCAAGCCCCATTTGTACACGGAGCATGACGTCTATGGAATGGAATATTCCTTTGGGCGGCTTCTGCTCTCTGCGCTCCCTCTCAGCTTCTGCGGGAAGCTGAAAAAGTCCTTCAATTGATACGGGCATTACTTAGCAACGACTAAAACAATGTGTGTTATCAACATTATTCTTAACTAAATCCAAAACACAGCAGTTACTAGGAAAAAAAATAGCTCTATCTCAGCTGAAACAAGTGGTTAATGAGAATAATGAATATGCGAAGCAGCAGCAGTGTGATTGGGCCTTGAATTGAATTTGCCAACAGGGAACATCTTAATCAACAGTTCCAAAAATACTAGAAAACCAAAACTATTTGCCAACTTGTGGTTTGGGGTGGTGTTGTTTGTTTGTGGTGTTTTGTTGTTTGGTTTATTTTTAAACCAGTTGTCATGGCCCTCAAACCAGGACACCAATATAGTACTTCAGCAAAAAGTTCGAGACTCTGATGAACTGATAATGGGGGAACCCTAATTGGTGAGCATGCTTTCTTTCCTCCTCCAGTCTCTTGCAAGCATGAATTTCATTTTCCCTGCACACACCTACCGCTGTATCGTGTTTTATACAGGTGACAGAGGAGCTGGAGGGCCTGAGGTCAGAACCTGCGTGCTTGGGCATCCTCAGAGGGTTTGATCTCTGCCACCAGCGCTCATTCCTCTGCAAACTCCCAACGGGGCTGCGGGAATGGGCTGCGCTATATACACTGCGCACAGCGTCGTACGGCATGGAATATCCCTGCGGTCAGTCGGGGTCCCGGCTGTGTCCCCTCCCAACCCCTTGTGCCCCCCAGCCCTCGCTGGTGCGGTGGGGTGAGGAGCAGAAGAGGCCTTGAGAGCTCAGCAACACCCAAACCCACCAGTGCGCTGTCACGCTGTTCCCACCCCAAATCCAACACACAGCACTGTACCGGCTCATAGCGAGAAAGTCAACCCCATCCCAGCCAAAACCATGACAGTCTTACTATCAAACACCAAATTTCACTTCCATCTCTATTGAGAGACTGAACTAAGCCTTCCCTTGTGGTGGTTTTTATTGTTTTCTGCTGTGGATAAATAAGTTGTTTACTGTGGTTTCAGCCTTTCCTGCCAGAGGCGCCGACGTTGCACTTTTCACTGTCTCATTTTGTGCCTCACCAAGCATTCCAATTCAAAAAGTCTATTTTAGGAACCTAATCAAAAATCATATACTGTCCAATCAATCATGAATCCGTATTTAGGTGCTGGTGGTTAAAAGACATTTACTTCTTGTTCAAGCAGAGTCCTGTGAAAACATGCAGCAGGAGATCGGTGATACTGTTAGCACTTTTGCTTAGAGCGTAATTTTATACCTTACAGGTATAAAATGTTATACCTTGCTGGTATAAAATTTTTCTAAAGGTAAGAAAGGTCATTGGCCTGTGCCAACCTCATGAAGTTCAACCAGGCCAAGTGCAACATCCCACGTGTGGGTCAGGGCAGTCCCCAGCACAACTCCAGGTTGGGCAGGGAACGGCTGGAGAGCAGCCCTGAGGAGAAGGACGTGGGGGTGTTGGTGGGTGAGAAGCTCAACATGAGACAGCAACGCATGATGACAACCCAGGAAGCCAACTGTATCCTGGACTGCATCAGAAGAAGTGTGGCCAGCAGGGCGAGGGGGGATTGTGCCCCTCTGCTGCACTCTGGGGAGACCCCACCTGGAGAACTGTGTCCAGCTCTGGAGCCCCCAACATAGGAGAGACATGGACCTGTTGGAGCGGGGCCAGAGGAGGCCCCGGAGATGCTGGGAGGGCTGGAGCCCCTCTGCTGGGAGGACAGGCTGGGAGAGGTGGGGGGGTTCAGCCTGGAGAAGAGAAGGCCAAAAAGGGGAGACCTCAGAGCCCCTTCCAGTGCCTAAAGGGGCTCCAGGAGAGCTGGGGAGGGACTCTGGATCAGGGAGGGGAGCCGTGGGACAAGAGGTAACGGTTTTAGACCCATCCCTGGAGGTGTTCAAGGCCAGGTTGGACGGGGCTTGGAGCAACCTGGGCTGGGGGGAGGTGGCCCTGCCCAGGGCAGGGGGTGGCACTGGGGGGCTTTGAGGTCCCTTCCAACTCAAACCCATCTGTGATTCTATGATTTGTCTGAAGAAACGGAGGAAATGCTGGACCCACATCCAAAGCCCCCCCGGCTTTGCCCAGAGCTGCACGCACACACTGTGCTATGCCCACGTCAGGGAAGCACAGAGAGGACCGAGAGCCCCGCTCAGGTGCAAAGGCAGGGGGTAGCAGTGCCCACCCGACAGACCCTGACGCTGTCACGGCATCGGGTGCTCCCTGTGTCCCTGCCGTAGCCGATGCCTGAGAGGAAAGGCCGCGCCGGTGGCCACATGGGCAAGGAGGGTGGCCCAGGTTGGCTGTCACACTTTCTGCCGGCAGAGGCTGGGTGTTTGCCGTGCTAGTCCTTGTCACCAGCTGAGTGATGGGTGAGCTTTCCCCAACACTTCAGACTAGCGCCGTTTAACCAGCCATGCCCCGGTGCCCGCAGGGGGGGAGAACAGCCCAAGCAGCATCAGTGCCAGCAGCCTGACCCGCTGAGGGTGCCCGCTTTTACAGCCCAGCTCTGTGCACCGCCCCCCGGCACACAACATAACTGTCCTCTCTAAATGTTCTCTTAAGCAGGCCTTTTTCTGCCATTTATATGGAAGAGAGAACAAAGCAGGCTGTAAGACTCAGAGAAAAGATCACTTGCAGTGACTAAAGGCCATCTCGGTTCATCCCACCAGCACCTACAGCACTGGCAGTACCCGTGTGGACGTCACCCTAACACTATATAGAAAATCGGACCAAAGGTGTTACCGAGGCAAAACCCCAAACCCCCAATTCCTCAGGAATATTAAGCTGCTGTTAATTAATTCCAAACGATGGAGAAATAAAGCTCCAGTCGTGATGTCTGCTGCCAGCAGACGGGAGCCCGGTCCTGCAGGCGAGAGCTGGGAGCTGCCGGCAGCGCTACGCACAGCGCTGAGAGAAAGAACTTCCCAAACGCACTGGGAGCTTGCAGGAACACGCACGCTTTCCAACTAAGTAATTCTGTGATTCTGTGTCCTGAGGATGTGCAAACTGACTGCACTGCTGTGTACGGGGATTATACGAGGTGCTTTCCGATCCCATGGAGCCTTTTATGGTCGGTACGTTGTTGTTAACAACAGACACCTACTCAGCCACTTCTGTTCCTCTCCTCAACAAGCACAGTCAAGCATTACGAAATATTCACATGAACAGCAATAGCAGAAGCAAAACAACATCTCCCTGGCTTTGGTCCTGCTTGTCTGCAATAACTGCCGTGTGTACTAAAGCCAACTTGCAGTTCCTTTCCAATAAATGGGATACTTGAGTGACGAAAAGTACATTGCATTGGAATCAAAGACAAGTTTAATTTTTATATTTGTCATTCAAAATCTTTAGTGCTTATATTTAATACACAAAACATTTATATAGAGTATATTTGTTAGAGACTGAAAACTGAACTGTGTTGCTTTTTCGAGGCTATAAAGCTACTAAGATAATATTTTTTAAAATTCATATGTAAAAACTTCTAAACAATTTTAAGGAGAATTAGAACACTTATTTGATATGTAGAGCACAAAACATACAGCAGTGCCATTGTAAGGCTAGGACCTTCACAGTCTTCCTTTGTCTGAGGAATATCCAGTGCTGTTTTGTTACACTATTTCCGTCTAGTACAGCTACTAAAGAAAGTGATTACTGAATAAGACAGCTACTTTTTTAAAAAAACAAGCAAAACTAAAAACCCCAAACGTTTGCACTGTTACAGCCATCCCATCTGGTTTTCAAGCGCTTCCCTTGAGCTGTGCTGGAGAGGGACACCAGGGGTTTCACAAGCTGCGTTGGACTTCATGAGGTTGGGTCCCCGCGCCTCCGCTCCCCCCATGGCCCGGCGGCAGCCCCGGGGCCTCTCCGGCACGTCCCACGGGAGAAGGGAGCGCACCAAAGGGGACAGGCGGCCTCCGAGCGCCTCCCGCGTTCAGAGGGTGAGCTCTCCCGCGTGCACAAGCCTGCCACATGAAGACATTGCGATAGGAAGAAACAAGAAGCAACCAGCCGGAGATGGCTCGGGCAAGTCCGGGCAGGGTCAGGCTACCAGCCCTTCTGGTCTTGGCCAGGAGAGAAATCCCAGGGCAGCCCTAGTGTTTGGTGGGGGTCTGAGCTCAGACGACAGCACTGAAAGCACACTTAGGTTAGAATCAGACTGGTGTTCCTGCCGGAGAAGATGAGAGCACTGCAGTCCAGACACTGCAGGGCAACACAACGAAGACGGCAATCACGCCCAAAAACTCACATAGCTCCTATTCTCCTACACTCCTCACTCGCACCCAGTGAACACGAGCCGGGCGTACTAGAGCAACATTTTCAACTCATAGATTCTCATTTAACCACTCGATATATCTGTTCAGCAGCCGGTGCCCTACAGCTAAGTCGGTTGGACTGATGACAAACATGACCGCCCCATGAAAGGCGTCCTTGGCGTGATCATGCGTGACGGGAACGCCAGCTGCCTGGAGGCGCCGGGCATACATGACCCCATCATCCCGTAAGACATCGTGCTCGCAGGTGAGGATGTAGGTGAGGGGCAGCCCACGCAGCTGGGCATCGCTCGCCAGCAGCGGGGCCGCCCGCGTATCCAGAAACCCCGGGTACTTCTGAGCAAACTCGGAGCTTCCGTAGGTGGGACCGGTGTAAACATAATCTTTCTTCAGCTCTTCAGGCAGCAAATGGCTCCAGTTTACAAACTGAAATAAGTGGCTCCATTCAATCGGGACGTGCCTGTTGGTGGCCATCGCTTCCGTGAGAGATGAATCAGAAGTGAAATATTCACTCCAGAACTTGGCCATAAGTGGTTTGGTTAAAATAGGCTTGTTTTCGTTTTGTTGGTAAGATGGCAAATTCAGGTCAAGGGTTTGGAGAGCGGGGTAAAGCAAAGCCTGGGCTTTGAGTTTGGTTTTGACTTCAGAGTCCTCTAACAGCTGTAGAGTAAAAAAGAAATAATTATAAAAAGTTGTTAAAAAGTGTTGGTTCTTTCACATTGACCTTAAAAGTAAGGAATTAATACACACTTGATACAACATAAGCAAAATAAGACTATCAATAAAACCAGCATAGATTAATTTAAAGAAATTTTAAATTCATAGTCAGGTCACTTAAAACAGCATCTTGTATTAAAACTTCTCCCAAATCAAGTGTAATTTAATTTTATTTCTTATGTTGAAAGACAACAATATTTGAGAAATAATCTTTTTGAAGCATCAAGACTTTCCAAGGCATTTACGCTTTCCTAAGTAGTAACAGATGCTTTTCTATACCGATAGAAAATTTCTACTCCTATAGCTTAAAAATTGCAGGCTTCTGAGACTCCTTTAATTGTTTTACACACAATTCAGAGCTTATCCATCTGCTGGGGGTTTCAACCTGGAGATGTTAGCACTCAAACAACTGCAATTTTAGACATGTAAAAAACAAAGTGTGATGAGTTGAACGCTGACATTTCTTATATGTCATCCTTTTTCCCCTCTTCACTAATAAATTTCCGCCTTCTCCCTCATCTTCTGCCTGCAGTGTTCACGGCAAATTCACAACCTGTCCACGTGAGATTCATTACAATCCAAATAACTTCTGAAGAGAACAGCAACCTCCCACTGACTTTATTTAATAAACTGAGCGAGCAGTGCAAAACCACTGAACTGTGCATGATCAAACGACACTGGAATATTTAGTCCACTTTTTTTTTTTCATCTATACAAGTTAAATTGCTAAAATTCCTTTTCAAATAACATACCTAAACCAGCCAAAATGTGCTTAAGGGTAGAGTGCTCCATGCCCTAATTATAGGGCAGAGAACCTTTTTTTAGGATATAAAGGTTTGGAGGACATCACGGCACCAAAGCTACTTCGATGCTGTTAAATGGCCGGAGGAAACCTGCCTGATGTCCGTGTACACGGACCACTGGGGACATTTGGGAGGTGGGCTTGCTTTGAGCAGAGGTTTTTGTTTAGTCTTTTCTAAGTGTTCATGAAGTGACCAAAAAAAAAAATAAATATGGAACCAGCAAACCAGCTTTTTGTTTTCACCTGTTGTGCCACAGCTGCAGCCAAGTTTCCACCCGCACTGTCTCCTGCCACACAGACCCGCTCTGGGTCCACCCCGTACTGGGAGAGGACACTGCTCTGGAGGAAGAACTTCGTTACCGAATACACATCTTCAAACTGAATGGGAAAATGGTGTTTAGGCGCCAACCTGTAACTGTTAGAGGCAAGCACAAGTGTGTTACTTCCTGCTATTAATACAGAGAAAGGCTTCCTGACATCTGCCCCGGCTGGTGAACATTTATTATTCTCTGTGCCTGGAGAAACGGGAACTGTCTCTCTGTCCTGGAGGATCAAATATTTCATTACCCACCCGACTTCATAAAGCAATATCCAAAATAACCACCAGCCACCATTCACCACCACAACCTTGACAGGTTTTGTTTACAAATACTTAAAACCAGCAGGAAAGCACATGCTGAAAAAATTAGAGTCATTGAAATAGATTAATTTATTCCAAACCCTCATCCCATCTAGAAGGAGAATCTCTCTTACTTGACCGATACCACGACAGCATTTAGCATGTTTGAAGTCCACCTCGTCAGATGATCGTAGGATTTCATGCCTGAAATGAAACGAGTCACTCAGAATACACTCCGGTACCTTTGAGACAGACACGTATACGACAGCTCGTTCCTCTTTGCAGAAGCTTTCAGGTGATTTCCAACACCTCCACCTGGTTTTAACTGGTGAAATACCAGTTCCTTGACCCTCTTTGTGGCAACTCCCATAAAACACAAGGCGGCACTTAACACATTGATATCTTCCCCGCGGCGCCCTGGTGCTGGCCGAAGCGCTCACCTGCATGTCCGACGCACCAGCCTCCCCCATGGAAGTAGATGACCGCCCTTCTCAGCCCCTCAGGAGCCCTTTTGGGCACGAACAGCCGCACGGCAACGTTGCTGAACTCGGTGTCCGTCACGGTGACGTTTTCATCGGACGCGGGTGCGACATACTCGGCAGCCGTGATCAGCATCAGTGCTTCCATATAGTGCATCAGCCCCAGCCGGTCGGCAACCTCAGCCTAAAGCCCCAGACAAGGGAGAACGATATTCAAAACACAGCCTTAGTTACTCTCAGAGGTTAAAAGCCCATAAAGCCTTTCGATACTCCGTACAAGGCAGTAGGGTTGCTGGAGAAGCCGCTGAGGTGTCTTGGAGGGGTGGCTGCTCGCTCGGTCTCACCATCCAGCCTGAGCTCCCCCCCTCGCATCTCCATCCCCTCCGCGTGAAGCTCGGCGGCCAGAGGGCAGCCCGGGGGACACCCCCGCCTCTCATTGCTGAAGCACTGGCATAGAGGGTGACAAGGACGCAATGGAGCACGTGGAATAAAGCAGAATTCAGCTGAAACCTGCGGATCCCCAGCAGGAGGGGCTGCTCAGCAAGTTGGACCTCCTCGTCTTTCCAGACAGTTACCACAAAACCAAGTAATAGCTGCTCCTGCAAGGAGCTCCAGCAGCAGAAGCAGCCGGTACCTTCAGGACGCTGAGGACACTGGTGGCACAAAGACAAGGATACAGCAATTTGACTTCAAGCTGCACAGTAACTTTTAATGATCAGTTCCACCCCAGTAGCCAAAGAGCATCGTTTAGAGATGAGTAGCCTTACATTATTAAAAGGAAATATTTTCTCTACTTTGAGATGTTAAATAGGCAGAAGTATATTTTTGCCACTTTACCACGGTCCAGCTCTGTTTAATTTCTTCAGTTCACACGTGAATTCCATTAGTTACATACCTGTATGTTTCTCTGTCTAACGAAGCGCTCCTGCTGA